GGGGGGGGGGGGGAGAGGGCGGGGATTTTTAACCTGTAGGCGTGCTGCCAGTAGCCAAAATCACTCATTAATTAATTGGGCAGAGCGGACATTATCCTTAGCTCGGCAGGCACACGGGAACGTACCGGGAGCCCTGAGCAGCCCAGCGCGGTTGGTATTTGGGACAACGCCGAGGTGTTTCCGGGCAAGAACTAAGTGAATGTGCCTTTTGGGATCAGAAGGGGTCTTTTTAGGGATGAGGCTTTTAGGAGTTTTATCCCCATCCGCAGACGGATTCTGTGTAAGATCCAGAAAAATGCAGCCCTGCCCGTGTTGGTCTGGTGATAAATCAAGGACTGTGCTCATTCAGCAGGACGTGGGGGTAGATTTCTTGAAGTTTGGCTCCAGAATTATCTGGAGAAGGTTTGAGCCATGTCATCTTTTGGGTAAACAGGCGTCTTATCTTTTTACTTTGCCTCTAGCAGCAGCATTGCTAGAGAGAATTTATTTTGGATTCCCAGATACGGGCTGTGATGAAAATTATTTTAAATTAATTCTCTGTTGCACTAAACTCCGTCCCTACACTGTTACACACCAAAATACTGATACATTTGCATATCTGGCTGCTTAGTTCCTGACTTGGACATTTCCTTCTCCCAGTAAACACACACAAAGAAATACTTAATCTTTAAAAAAGACCTTAAAAATCAGTGCACCCCATCCTGGAAGTTTGCTGGCCCAGGGACCTTGGTGTTAAGGATATTAAAACCTGCAGTCAGCGAGCCAAAGGCCTTTTTCAGCAGAAATTGACCTTTCGTATTCATGGTTTGGTAGGCATTTCTTCAGTGCACAAAGGTGCAAACTGAGGTGGTTTGAAAAGGCCTTATTTTTGAAAAGTGTTTGGTCATGAAGAAGGGGAGCTCATCAAGTGCTGTACAGTGACTGGAGAAGTCGATGTTCCTCCTCTGCCACATGGGCAAGGAGGCTCCTGGTTGGGGACTCTCAGCGTCCCATGCAGAATGTGAAGCACAAGAGCTTCGTAGCATCTGAAACAGTGTTCTGCCTGGGTTGAGATAAGGCCCTCAGGGCTGTGGCTGGGTGCCTGTCTTGAACTCTGTGAGCACTTCGTGAGCTCAGGGGCAGTCAGGCAATCCTGGAAGGGAGAAACGGCAGAGATCTGCTGCCTGAATTTCATCTGCTTTTTCTTTAGTCCAGTGATTGCTCTCGGTAGTGTAAATGTAGTGTGTGTTAGAGACCAGAATCTTCAGCTGTCCAAGATGAGCATCCTAACATCAAATGGAGAAATCCAGTTCTCTTTTCTACCTGCTCTTTTTCCATCTCCTTTCTTGCACTATCATCTCACTCCATGATGGAGTTTGATGTTTGAGCTATGCTTAGCAAACTAGCATTTTTTAAGGACATGTGTCAGAATAGCTGTTGTTCAATTCCCAAATTGGCAGACACCTAGGCAGAAGGTAGGCACCTCAAAATTCACTTCAAAATATGAGAAATGTACTGGATAGCCCAGGAAAGAGGGACTGGAGTCCTCCTGGGAAGGTGCCATCGGGGGAAGTGTTTTTGGAATGTGGCTTCATCAGAAGGTGTTAGAGACAGGGTTTTCCAGTCTCTCTCGTGTGGTCCTATGCTCTTGCATTCTGTCCAAGATGCCATGTACATGCCTATGTGTTTTGTTGGTTGCCTGCCCTGGATTTTAAAAACCAAGCCAAGCAACCAGCCTTTGGTGGGGCCTTGGGAGTCAGTAGCACCTCCAAAGATACAAAGACTTTGGCAGGTTTCTTAGAAAAGCTTTGAAAACCTCTGCCTCTCCTTGTATCCTCAAGCTGAATGAAGTACTGTTTCTGCAAGGTCTAGCTGTTCGAACGGCAGCTTCTAGTTTAATTATCAGAAATTCTCTTGGTAATTACACTCAACACCTGCTGCAGTTTCTTGACTTCATTATTTAGTCATAAGAAATTATTTAATTTTATGACTGTCATTTTCCTTTTCAAGTGCCATTAATGGGCTCAGGGATATGTTTGTCGTTAAGGCCTAGACTAGACATCTTGATTCGGTTCATAGGTCTGGCACGGACTCCCGGTATGATCTTGGATGAGTTGCTCGGTCTCTCTGGACCTTGATTCCTCTTCTGTGGAGTGGCTATAAAATGCTTCATTTCCAGCTTTTGTCTAGTCAGGGTATTAGTCAAGTGAAATGAAAGCTGGCAGAGGGCATCCGATTGCTTCCTGTGAACACATTAGAAGGGTAAATACCAGGGAGGGGGAAGAGCTACTTAAGCTAAAGAACAGTTCAGGCAGAAGAAATGCCTATAAATAGAAGGTGGATACATTTGAGATGGAAATTCAAAGAAAGTTTCTCATCATCAAATCAGTCGGGTTCCAGAGCAGCCTTCCAGGATGAGTCAGGGGGAAGAACGACCTGGTGCCTGAGGTACAATTCCACCCCTTGTAAAATTAAAATGCCTCGTGTAGGCCAAAGCTACCTGTTGACTGTCCCTGCCGATGCTGCCTGTCTGTGCTGCCTCTGCCAGCCCTGCTGCAGCAAAAGGGCTGCAACAGCAATAGCACCAGAGGCATTAGTAGCAGAGGTCAGGTGTGACATCTCTGAATTTTTGAGGGTAGAGAGCCTCTTAAGGACTGGCAAATGCTCCAGCTGCCTTTAGCACGGACCTTGACCAGTTAGTGAGCGGGATTACTTGTCATGGGTTTTATTCCAGCAAAGGACTGGTCTTCACAATGCCAAAGGTTCCCTTCCTGTCTAATATTTCCCAGATATGGCTGCATTTCAGCTGATGAGACAGTGAAATCCAAGCAGAAAGAAGATGATGGGCATCATTAATAGTTTTCCTGGGTTGGTGATTCTGAGTTTGGCATTCTTTCTAAACCTTGCCAGGGACCAAACATCACTTCTGGATGTTAAAGGTTGCAGTATTGTAACCTTCACACATTTCCCTACTCCTTTTCTCACGCTCTAGGTTGCCAGATGGATGCCAGAGACAAGCAGCTTTTACGCTCCCTGCGCCTGGAGCTCTGCACAGAGGTGCTGGTGGATGGACTTGTTATTCAGTATCTCTACCAAGAAGGGATTCTCACGGACAGCCATGTTCAAGAAATAAAATCCCAAACCACCAGTCAGAGGAAAACCATGATGCTCCTTGATATTCTACCCACCAGAGGACCCAAGGCTTTTGATGTGTTCTTGGATTCCTTGCAGGAGTTCCCATGGGTTAAAGAGAAGCTGATGATGAAGCGTAAGGAAATGACAGTACAAGATCCTGCAGGTAAGGCCAGGATTGTTGTTACTGATATTTTCAAGCTTGTTCTCAATCTGGGATTTTGAAAGTATTGAACGTACCAGTAATTTCAAGTTATGTGTCATGTAGATATGGAGCCAACAAAAGGGGAAGCCAGCCAAACACCAGGAAGTATTGCAAAGTTCAGGGAGTGAGCAGGGCTGAGTTTCAGGAGACTGGGAGACAGCAGGAGAGGCTGCCTTGGGAGAGGCTAGGATGTAGGAGGACCCAGACTCCATTACCTCAAAGGGAACAGGCTATAAAAAGTCATTTTGACTAGATACAGAACAGTCTCTTCACCATCTATACCTGATTATTGTTTGTTTTATGCGTGTTTTACAGTGGCTTCTGTTTCTGGATTGTACACGCTGACAGAATTTTTATTTACTTTTATTATTATTTCAATGTAATTTTGATTTAGTACCATGTGCTAATTTAGATTTATTTAGTTTATTATGTTTACTGGAGTGTAAATGTCTAGGATCATTACTTCCAAAATTACTAGCCGTTGCTAAATTTTAAAACAAATTTAGGAGCTAACTGATTTAGCGGGTGTTAGATAATCTTATTTACTCCAATCTCTAGCTTTCTGACATTTAAACATACTTCTAAAACTAGTTTTCTGGGCTTGGTGTTTGTTCAGAAGTGATTTCTTTGCCAATCCATGCATGCAGTTGTTGAGCTGTTTTGAAGTCAAGACAACTGCTTAAAATGCACGTTTTCTTGCCCTCGATGTTGGCAGCGTGCTCTGGCTGCTAACCTCAACGTTACCAGATAGTGAAATAGTCCTCACTCGGGAACGTCGTTTCCAAGCAGTCCGATTAACCTTTTTTCCAAGCCCTACCCACCCCCCCTGCCCCATTTGACTTTGGTCATATGTATTTTGATGCACGTGACGTGTGATTTTTCCAGTGTCAGTGTGCTTTGCCTGAGACTGGGAGCCTGTGAAGATGGCTGACTAAGACCCGTTGACCGTCATGTGCACCTGCGTCCCCGTTAGCTGCACGCTCAAGAATGTTTTGTCAAGATCTGCTGGACAAATCTGACATTCTCTTTACCTTAGGACGTTTTTAACGGAATATTGTGACAGCTTGTCTTTCTGCTGGGTCTCTGTGGAGGCTGCTTTATGTTTGCTCAGAAATGGGTAAATACTTTTCAGAATTTAGGAAATAAATGTCCCATGCTGCCCACAGGGGAAAACACTGCAAGTTCTCAGCACAATGCAAACTTGCAGCGTTGAGTGTGTTGGAGAAGACCTTGCTCGCTGTTATGACAAATCCTGTCACGCTAATTTTGCCTTACAAATCAGCCTGTTCCTTTGCTAATTGCTGGTTAAGCTGTGAAACAATCCTTACAGTTCCAGAAATGCACGCACAGCCATTGAGTACAGTCAGGAGCGCGTACTTTGTGGGTAGAAAAATCGTTTCTGATTTTTGTTCTTTTGATTGTTTTGTGGATTGCTCGTTCCCGTTCCTGATCAATTGTGACTAACGTGCTGGATTTATGCACATCAGGTTCTCCGGTTTCGAGAGGGCTGACTGTATTTGATAATTCTATTGCCAAACTTTTTGTGTAAATTAGGAAAGGCTTCCAGATTAGGTCAAAGGTTACAGTTATTTTTACTGTGGCAATACAGAGTGTAAGAACAGAATAAGAGGCAGATAGCCAAGTTTGTTTTAATGTTTAGGCATGTTCTTTAGAAGCCAAAGAAAGAGAGCACCATCTGTGCCCTAGTAAATGCTGAGTGCACCCTGGAATGAATTGGAAACTGGCGGCATCATCAGTGCTGATTACATGCAAGAAAATGTGGTTTGGGATAAAAAGCCTCACTTTGCATTCTAAACAACAAACTTGTAAGCTTTTGTCTCAGCAGAGTACTTGAACACATGCTTGGCCTTAAGCATGGAAAAAGCCATTTGCTCTAATAAAACTATAAGCATATTTAAAATTGAACGTGGCTCTTTAGTGCCATGCTAGATAACTTCTGCCTTATTGGAACCAGTTCTTATAAATGATGATTTGTCAGTGGCAGTTTCTTTTGAAGAATCCATTTGTAGTGAAAAAAGCCTGCCATATACACTCTACTTTTTGTTTTTTAGACCCTAAAACTTTTAAAATTGAAGTTGGTTTTATGGCCCCAGATTTTTAAATCTTTTTCCTTTGAATCCTGCATACTTATGGAAATCACATGCCTGCTGTTCATTTGTTTATGCTCAATTAAAATTCTGTTTACTCAAGCAAAATCACCTCAGTTTTTGCAGATCTTTTGCAGGACTAAGGACTGGTGGCAAGTTGTTCCTTGCAGGAAGGTTTTATTCTATAGTCTTTCACTTCTCACTGACTACACATAGGATTTTTAAAGTCAGTAAAAGTAGACTATTAGGTGTTCTCTATCTGAATGTAAAAACTGTGGCACAGGCACAGTGATTTTTCTATGTCAGCCTTTGGATTATTGTGCATTTTGTTCCAAGAGATCAGGCTTTCTATCTTTGCTTCAGCTGAGAAATATAATTTGTTGGTTCCCAGTTAAAAAAAAATAAATCACAACTGTAATTGTTAAGAAGCTTTTAATTTATTTTCTTCCCCTAGTCAAAAAAACCCAAGCCAAAACAACAAGCCAACCGAACCAAACAAACAACAAATTCAGAAGGACAGAAATAAAAACATTTTTGGTAATGTAGTGTAAATATAATCTGGTGGACTGAGCAACTACAAAATGGAAGCCAGAGTCTGAGACCTAAACTGACTGCCACTGAGTCATCGGGAGCCTTTGGGCAAATTCTTCCAAGGCAATGGATTTATTGATTCCCAAGTTGTGTAACTCGGTGTAATGTTCATGGAGCAGCATAGAGTGTAATTGTAAATTGGCCCAGGATTCGACCCAGAGTGTGCCGTTTGGCTGCTTGCAAATAAATGAACTTTAAAACCTGTGATATCCTGAGTTTTATTGCTGAACGTCAGTTGACTTAAAAATAATATTTCTGTATGCTGTTATCTGCTGTACTTCCAAGAAACACAGAAGACCCTAATCCTGCAGAGCATGAGCAATAGTTTTTCCATGGGAATCAGGAGAGTGGCGTGCAGGCAGGTAGGGCCACTTGCATCTGTGTAATTGCAGCAAAGAGACCCTAAATTCCTTCTCTTTGCTTGTTTACTTTATCTTTGGGGCAGCCTTTTGCCTGGGGTCACCTTTCTCCTGTCTCGTATAGATCTGTCAGGTGGGCACAGCTTTGGAGAAAACTTTTTTTAAGGTAGGGAGAGCATCATTGTAATACCCCAGAATCTCAAGAAGTAAATTTAAAGTCATGTGCTTCTGGAGGTAAAAGTTTATGACTTAAATTGACATCAGGATGATAGGATGTGTTTCTTGCTTATGTAAGAACCTCACTCTGTGCAGAGTGGCATTGCAAGACTTAATCGTTATAAACATCAACTGCAGCATGAATTCCTGGTTTTGAAGATCAAAACTTCTGCCGTAGTAAGAGTTAACAAAAGTAATGTGGTTCTGTTTCATTGGGAAAAGACTGTCTTGTTTTTTTGCCCTAGTTTGGATAACTTTATGCCTTTGTCAGAAACATAAATCTTCAATATATTATTATAATTCCTACGAAAAACTACAGCTGTTGGCAACAGAATTCCATTCTTTCTAGGAACAGCAAGCAGTTGCCTAATATTTTTTTTTGCATTGAATAAAAAAATATAAGCTTTGACGGCGTTTGTTTATCAGAATGTTTTTCTAATCTCTCTCCGCTCAGGAATTTTTTCTGCCCAAGTATTGTATTTCTCTCTGTGCTATATTGCTATAAAATTATTTACTTCCAAAAGTGTTAGTACTGCACCTCTTCGTAGTATAGATGATTTCTCATTCTCAGCATATTGAGAAAGAGAAAAGTCTGAGATACAGTGTTTGCCAAAGGAATCCTGCAGCAGAGGAACGGCTCTCTGGCAAATGTTAGTGAATTTGGGGTATGGAGTTACACAGAATTGTTTGGGGAAAGCTGTTCTCTCACAATTAAGAAAGGAATATTTTCTAATGCATCATTTTGTTGTTGAGGTGGTATCTAGTCAGCAGCCTGCATTAGGGTCCTGTTAGACTTGGTGAGGATTTTTTTTTTATTTAAACAGTGTGGTTGGGGTTTTTCTGTGGATGTGTGGGGAGTGTGTGTTCTCATATAGCTATATAAAGCTTCATGTTGTGTAACACTTTGGATGAAGCATGCAAATACAAAGCAAAGCAAAACGTGTACTTCT